CCAGGGGTGGGGCTGCAGAGGAGAACGGGAAGAAGCTGCTGCCAGACTGCATTGAGGACGAGGACGGGCTAACACTCACCCCTCTTGGGAGATACCAGGTAGGCCAGTGACCCGCTCAGGACGTCGTGCCCAGGAGAACGTAAGCACAGCCCTGCTACGTGGACCCTGGCCCATTGAGAGCATCCCAGTGGCCCATCCCCTGCCCAGGGATCGACATCCTTTACCAGGCAGGAAAGACCACCAGCCTAAAAATAACACACTGTAATATTGAATGATTAAGATTGATAACTTAATAATTCTGTGTGTTAATATCAAACTTGAAAAATTGTCCAACCATATTAAGTAGGAGGAATATTGTCATATATTTGCATCAAAATGTAAGACACTATGGAACCACACTGTTCACACATTGATTTTTGTTGTAACAAAAAAATAAAAAAATATTGGGGAAAAAAAAAGAACAAACATAAGAAAGAAGAAAATGATATACATTTTGAATTGCAGCATGTCAGCCAGAAATGTGGCTACCGCCAGAACTACCAGCGGCCCAAAGTCAGATGAGAGAGCGCTTGAATATACATGAGTTAAACATTCTGGTCGAAACATAAATAAATAAAAGATTGGTCTCAAATCAGTCCATAGTCCACAAACTATAAGTGTCTGTGGTTTACAATAATCATTTTGGGACTGAATATTTTCACACTTCTGCTGGTAGTAGATATCTGTGCACACAAAAAACACTGTTGAAGGTGAAGTAAACAGAATAGTAAAAAAACGCACTGGGAATGGCTGCGAGTTAGACTTGGGCTGACGAGAAGAGCAGATCAGCCCTGCGGGAGATCTAGCTGAGCTCAAAGGAAGGGTCATTATCCAGGACATTGACTGGCTGTCTTTCCCACAGTCAGGAGGCAGAGGTCAGTAACCTGTGATGCCATCTGATGTAGGGCTATTTTTAGAGGCTTGATGTTGTTTTTTGATAGGAAGTTTTGTCTGAAAGTCATTTTTTAAAAATAATTTCACTGGAAAATCCACAGGGAAACTTGTGTGAGGAGGACGGGATTAATTCACACGGTTGTCAAGCTCAGCTGGAAGGCTGGGTTGCAGACACACTCCTGCAGGTTCTCTCTGGGATGGGTGACAGACAGGTCCTGGACAGCTGGTTTTTCCTTCTTGCACTAGATCATCAACGGCCTGCGGAAGTTCCAGGTGGAGTACCAGGGAGATCCAGAGCTTCAGCCGATCCGAAGCTACGAAAGCGCCACCCTGGTCCGTCTGCTTTTCCGGCTGTCTTTGGCCATTAACGAACGCGTAAGTGAACCTCTGGCCTCCCCGGGCCATCGAGCGGCCCGGCTCCTTCCCTTGGCCTTCGCATTCCAGGCGCCCCCAGACCGGCCTCTTCCCAGCCTCCGTGCCAGAGCAGAGCTACATGAGGCTGGCATCTCATTGTGAGGACTAGAAGCCCCTGGCCCATTGGACAAGGCCACAGGGGGTGTGTGTGACTAGGACAGTGCTGTTCGTGGCAGCATATTCTGCAATTAGCCATCCCCAAAGGAGGGTTTCTCCGTCCGTTTAGCTTCCGCCCTTGAGATTAAGGGGCTCAGCCTCATTTTCCCCACCTCGACTTGATTCCATCTTGGTCTCTTTTAGTTTGGAAATCAGATGGAGAGGCTCTGTGCCAGAGAAGATTTCCTGGGCAGTTTCTGCCGCTATCACCTTACCAACCTGCCTCTGGTGGCCAGTTCCCAGCGCAGCCCACACACCAAGTGGCATTCGGGCCGGATTCAGCAGCCGAGAGTCAGGCTGAGGTTTCTGGCCAGCTACAGGACTCTCTTCTCCGTGCTGATAGTGTACTTCATGGGCTCCTGGTTCTGCCTTGGGCCAGTGGCCTGCACCTTCCTCCTCCTCGTGGGATACCTTCTCTTTGCCTGTGGGATGACCGTCTGGACTGAGAAAAGGCAGCCGCATTGAGGGCAGACGTGGCCCAAGTGAGCCCTGCCTTCAGCTGGGGGTGCAGACTCTCCTGGGTGCTGAAGAAGATTTTTAACTGCGCTTCGCAGAGGGTATAATTCTGTGCCGGTCAACTGTTGCTGTGTATACATTCTATTTTGATAAAGCTTTTTTAAAAACACACACACACACACACACACCCTATGCTCTTGGGAGACTCCTGGTGGCGGGAGAAGCCCAAAGTAGCAGGAGTCCAGTGTTACAGGACTGCTTGGGCTGTGCCAGCTTCTGCAGCCGGGCTCCGCTCCAGTGCCCACGGCAGCCAGCTGTTGTGCCCGTCTCCTGGCAGCCTTCCAGCTCATCGGGCTTCAGTTGGCCCTTTGAGGACCCGTTCACGGGCGCAAGTGGTGCTGTCCCTTGCAATAGAAGTGAGGGGATCCTTTGCTGAATGGTGGGGGTCCAGCTGTCAGCTGCCCCAACTTGGTCAGTTTGAAAAGAAAAACCCTTAGGCCCATCGTTAGCTAAAGCTGCACTTTACTAAAGTCAAGCGGTGACGGAAGAAGCGGAGCTGGATTTGAGGTTTTCCTGCCCAACGTATATGGTTAACCTTTCCGTGTCCTCCAGCCCCACCCGTCAAGCTGTGAAGATCCAAAGGGGCGTGGCGCAGAGGCCACACAGACAATCAGTAGGAGTCCCAACTTTGCCCCCGATGTCCTGGTTACCTTCTGGCTGGAGAAAAACTCCCAGGAACAGCCGTTGGCTGCAGAGAATCAAGTCCAAAACGTGGTCAACAAAAACTGTTAAGTCCAATCAAGGGAAGGTGAGGTAATTAGTCCGGCAGGGCAGAAGAAGGAATTCCAGACGTGAAGGAACTATAGAAATTCAACATGCTTGGGAGGATGCCAGGAACGCAGATAAGCAAAGTCAATACAAGATAAATTCATGTTTGTTCCCAGGAGACGCTGCACTCAGCATGCCTCTCTTTTAAATTCCCTTCCTAGGTGTGGTTAATGAAGGGAATCAGGGCCCTTTCCTTCCCTGTAAGCAATGCAACCCACGTTGCTCTCTTCTCCGTTCCTCCCTGTGTGCCCTAGGATGAAGAAGGGGTGGGCCTGGGTCTTCCTCTGAACTCCCTCTCCCTTGTTCTATCTCTTCCCTGCTCTGCCCAGCCAGATTGCTCTTCCCCAGTTTCCTCCACAGGCAACAGAGGAGCCACACTCCCGCTCCCTGTTAACTGTCAGTAGCTGTCTTTCCTCTGATTCAGACTCGATGGGCATGACAGAAGCATTCAGTTAGGACAAAGGTGCAAACTTGATTTCATTGAGGGTTGCATCAGGGTTGTGTTTGACCCGGAGGACCAGGGGTGTGTGGCCAGTGGGCATAGCCAGCTCAATGCCACTCGAGTTTGGGGTGCACCTGTAATGGCCCAAGTGCTCTGCCAGTGAAAATGGGCTCCCAAGCTCAGTTTTTGGCTGCGATGGCTTCCTGCAGCCCTCTACCAGTGAAAACAACTCAGGAGGGCCGGCCGCGGTCCATGCAAGCTCCATTTTGTGCTGCGACGGCCTCCTGCAGCCCTCTGCCAAGCTCCGTTTCCACTGGCAGAGGCACCAGGGACCAATCCTTTGCTGTTTCCAGAGTGGCCCTGTGGGCTAGATCTAAACATTCTGTGGGGGGCATCTGGCCCCTGGACCTTGAGTTTGACACCCCAATTAGGGGCTAACAAATTGTTTTGGGAAACAGTCTTGGCCTCTGCAGCTGGCATTCCTCTCATCCTTGAAGCAGCCAGGGTTTCTCTTGGAACAGTCTGAGGCTTGGTTTCGTTTCCTCATGGTATCCCCTGGCAACCCTCACTCTCATCCACCTAGTGCCCTCCCTCTCCCTTTCAATGGCAGGCTGCAAACCATGGAGTGTAGCTTGACCAGCCCTCATCATAAGGGGAGGGGGCTGAATGAACAGAAAAGTGACTCCGGAAGTGGCAAACCATGGTTCTGAGGACCAGGGGGGATACCAAATAGTGACCCCAAAGGCTTCTGTTTGTAGAACAAGCATAGAAACACGACTTTTTAAAAAAAGGCTACGGCCAGCAGGCAAGGTGTGGCAACAGCATTCCCACCCTTCACAGAGAAATTTAAGTTCTGACTCCCTGGTGGGAAAGTTTCGGTTCTCTTGTCCAAAGGCTACGAGGGAGAAAGTCCCCCACCCTGTTAGTTCCATAGAAGTTACACAAGATGCCCTTCGCAAAGTGAGGGTGCAAATACTTCTACCTGGAGCAGGTTGCCTCAGAGGGCTAAGCAGGAGGGGCCGTGGAGGCTCCACAGAAGCAACCAATGCCAAACTGCAAGCCTCGAGGAGGTGCGACTGCTGAGTTGGCCTTCCCCTGTCTTTGGCACCTGGCCTCACACCTGTGGGTCTCTAAAGGAGCTACTCCGTCTATTGCGCGCTGGTCCAGCCATGAAATGAGGGTGTGGCGGCAGGTTGAGCATCTTGGCTGGAGGAGCCCAGCAGGAGACTCGGGAGGTGGGAGGACAACCGGAGCCAGGTGGCTTCGGAGCAGCCCTCATTGGCCTCGTGGGGCTCAGCCGGGACCCCTTTGGCCGGGAGGAACCTGGGCCCCTCGGACCATCGGGCAGTCCTGCCAGAAGTTTCCAGCCCAGGGAACGGTGGGCGGGCAAAGGGAAGGCCGGGGCGTTGGGCCCAGTTGGCAGGAGGGGAGAAGCGGCTCAGGTGCGGCGGCTCTTTGCGGGGGATCCGCCTCTCTCCTCACCTCCGCCCAGAGCAGCGGACAGGCGCCCGGGGGCTGCGCCTCCTCCTCCAGGCGGAGCTGCTCGGGGTCGGCGAGGCGCTCGGCTCCCTCTGCTTGGCCGGGGCGAGCGGCAGCGGCTCCCGGGGGCCCAGGGCGGCTTCCAGCCCCCGCCAGCGGCCCCTCCCCTCCGCGCAGCCCCCCGCGCGCGCCCGGTCTCCTTGGCGACGGGGACGCGGCGGCGGCGGCGGTGGAGCGAGCTAGCGAGGCTCGAGCCACGGCGCCCGCGATGCGACCCGGCCGGTGGTAGCGCATGCAGGGCTCGGGCTTCCCGCCGCTCGGCCACCTGCCGCACTGGCAGCGGGCGGGGCAGGCGGAGCGGCCCGGCCGGCCCCTCGCGCCCGGCGGGCCCGGCCCGTCCGAGGCCGCCCCGCCGCCCACGCCCCCCTCGAGGCGGGCGGGCCCCGAGCTGGAGCGCAGCCTGCAGTTCCTGCAGCAGCAACACGGCGAGACGCTCCGGCAGCTGCACCAGGAGATCGACCGGCTGAAGCGGCGCAACCAGGGTGCGGGCGGGCGGGGGGGGGGGGGGGGGGGGGGGGGGCCCCGGGGGCGCGGCCCCCCCCCCCCCGCTGACCCCGCCTCTCTCCCCGCAGATCTGCAGTACCGGCTCATCATGCAGCCGCTGCTCCAGCAGGCAGGTAGGCCGGGCGGGGCGTCCCCTCGCCTCTCCCGGGCTCCTCTCCCCCGGGCGGAAGGGAGGCGAGCCGGGAAGTCCGGGCCCAGTCGCGGGAGGCCGGACGGGCGGCCGCGGCTCAGGGGGAGCGGCCCGGCTGGCGCGTCTCCCGCCGGGGCTCCCCGGGGCTCCGCCGGACGCCGAGAGAGGAGGAGCCGCCGCGGAAGAGCGTCGCCGGCGGAGAAGCCGGGCAGGGCGAAGCGGCCCCTTCGGCCCCCCCCCCCCCCCCCGGCCTTTCTCGGGCCGCCCTGCAGCTCGGGGGGCCCGCCGGTGTCTCGGGGGGCTGGGGGGGGCGGCCTTTGCGAGCGCCGCCCCGGCCTCTCCCTCCTTTTGCAGAGGCGGAGCCGAGGGCCGGCGAGGACGAGACCCCGGCCGAAGAGGAGGCGGCCCCGGAGGGGAGCCCCGATTGGGCGGAGGACGCCGAAGGCCTCAGCCCGGAGCCCCAGGAGGCGGCGGCGGCGGCAGCGGCGGCGGCGGCAGCAGCCCCCCCGGCCAGGTGGGAGAGCCCGGCCGGTGGCGGCTGTTTATGCCTTTTTTGATGATGAAAAGCAAAGAGTTTATAACACAAAAAGTTATAAAGGAGAAACAAAGAGAAAAGCGGGTTTCAAATTGCTTTTCTATCTGAACACGCGGGAGCTAAAACAACTCAAGGTACCTTTTGTGCAAGTGAACATAATCCATTCGACTAAAGTGTTTGCTACCATCCATGTTTTCTTTGATGTTCGCACTTCTTCCCACTGTCCAGACAAAAGAGGTATTTCTCATTTTTTATTCCACTTATTCCCTTAAAACCACTCCTCCATGTATTCATTTTTTAAAAATTATTTCTGTAAATGGGGGTTAGTCAGTCTGTGGCATCAAGCGAGGTTGAGAAAAAATGATCAAAAGTGCTTTTCTGGAACTCATGAAATTATCGTAATGATAAGAGGACTTTTGAAACCCGTTATTCTTTGCATGTCAAGAGTCTCCTTGATATGCAACGTAGGAAAGTTTTGAAACAGCCCAGAAGGAAAATTGTCACTCGGCAGTTTGTCCCAGATTGAGCCCTAGTCAACAGATCTGGCTAACAAATACACTGCTCAAAAAAAAAATAAAGGGAACACAAAAATAAGACATCCTAGATCTGAATGAATGAAATATTCTTATTAAATACTTTGTTCATTACATAGTTGAATGTGCTGACAACAAAATCACACAAAAATTATCAATGGAAATAAATTGAGCAACCCACGGAGGTCTGGATTTGGAGTTACATTCAAAATTAAAGTGGAAAAAACACTACAGGCTCATCCAACTTTGATGTCATGTCCTTAAAACAAGTCAAAATGAGGCTCACTAGTGTGTATGGCCTCCACATGCCTGTATGACCTCTCTACAACGCCTGGGCATGCTCCTGATGAGGTGGCAGATGGTCTCCTGAGGGATCTCCTCCCACACCTGGACTAAAGCATCCCCCAACTCCTGGACAGTCTGTGGTGCAACGTGGCCTTGGTGGATGGAGCGAAACATGATGTCCCAGATTTGCTCAATTGGATTCAGGTCTTGGGAACAGGCAGGCCAATCCATAGCATCAATGCCTTCATCTTGCAGGAACTGCTGACACACTCCAGCCACATGAGGTCAAGCATTGTCTTGCATTAGGAGGAACCCAGGGCCAACCGCACCAGCATATAGTCTTACAAGGGGTCTGAGGATCTCATCTCGGTACCTAATGGCAGTCAGGCTACCTCTGGCGAGCACATGGAGGGCTGTGCGGCCCCCTAAAGAAATGTCACCCCACACCTACTGACCCACTGCCAAACTGGTCATGCTAGAGGATGCTGCAGGCAGCAGAACGTTCTCCACGGCGTCTCCAGACCCTGTCACGTCTGTCACATGTGCTCAGTGTGAACCTGCTTTCATCTGTGAAGAGCACCGGGTGCCAGTGGTGAATTTGCCAATCTTGGTGTTCTCTGGTAAATGCCAAACGTCCTGCATGGTGTTGGGCTGTAAGCACAACCCCCACCTGTGGATGTCGGGCCCTCATACCACCCTCATGGAGTCTGTTTCTGAACGTTTGAGCAGCCACATGCACATTTGATGCCCGCTGGAGGTCATTTTGCAGGGCTCTGGCACTGCTCCTCCTGTACCTTCTTGCACAAAGGCTGAGGTAGCAGTCCTGATGCTGGATTGTTGCCCTCCTACGGCCTCCTCCACGTCTCCTGATGTACTGGCCTGTCTCCTGGTAGCGCCTCCATGCTCTGGACACTACACTGACACACACAGCAACCTTCTTGCCACAGCTCGTATTGATGTGCCATCCTGGATGAGCTGCACTACCTGAGCCACTTGTGTGGGTTGTAGACTCCGTCTCATGCTACCACGAGAGTGAAAGCACCGCCGGCATTCAAAAGTGATCAAACCATCCGCCAGAAAGCATAGGAACTGAGAAGTGGTCTGTGGTCACCACCTGCAGAACCACTCCTTTCTTGGGGATGTCTTGCTAACTGCCTCTGCCTTCCACCTGTTGTCTCTTCCATTTGCACAACAGCATGTGAAATTGATTGTCAATCAGTGTTGCTACCTAAGTGGACAGTTTGATTTCACAGAAGTGGGATTGACTTGGAGTTCCATTGTGTTGTTTAAGTGTTCCCTTTATTTTTTTGAGCAGTGTATATAAAATGATATACAGCAAGATTGGAAAAAATCTAACTGACAAGATCTGGAAACATCTAATAGCTTCATTTTTCAGAGAGGGAGAGAGAGAGAGATTGCATGCCAGATTTTTCTTCTAGGGAGTACATTTGTTCTACTGAACTTGCCTCAAGGTTTAAAGACTGACATCTCTCTGATCTTATTTTAAAGTATGAAATGGTTTTTGTCTGTTGGGCGATTAGAGTTCCATTCTACCTAGATCATTCTTAATGGTGCTGTTGGAAGAGACAGGAATTCAACACAGACAAATCAAAGACTTCACTTCCAAATCAAAGGACCTGAAAAAGTATAAGAAAGGGGTTTTCTTACCCACTTATTAGATTTATCCTGGGAACGCTGTGAGATTTCTTTTTATCTGCTTAAACTGATTCTGACTTCCAATCAGCTGACCAAATCATTTTGCATTTCTCCAAGCTGGGAAATTTGAATCCACAAAAGGAAAGAACTTTGCCTATTCCTTAAAGGGCAAGGTTTCTTTTTTCCTTTCCTCAGTACTCATCTAAATTTGATTAGACTTAATTTTTAATTTGAGCCCTCTTTTTTGGTGATACAAGAAAACTGAAGAAATAATTAAGCTCCGGTTGGTTTTTTTGGTACTGTGGGAATGTTATTAACATTTGCTTTCCAAAGCTTAGTACATTTTGTCGTTCTGTTGTCCACGTTTATAATGACTGGAGCTTTTTGTGAGAAAGGAAGGGGCGTGATGGTGACTGGCTCTCCTTTGATTCAGTCTACTTTTCGCAGTCCTGACTTTGAGAGCCTCCTGGAGGCCGTGTGATTGAGACTTGCCAGCACTAATCCTGCCTTGCGTGTGTCATTGCAGAGACTCGTCCGTCTGCAACCGGAGGACGTCTCCGATGCCTCTGCTTCCTCCCACAACAAGCCAGAGCAGGGCTGGAGACGTGAAAATCCCGTCTGCATCTTCCAACCCCTTCTTGGTGAATGTGCTGCCTTCCTACATGCGGAAGCCCCCCAGCCTGGAGGAATGTGAGGTGGTGATTCGCCAGCTGTGGAACATTAACCACATGCAGATGCAAGAGGTGAGGCCTCGGCTCTCTGGTGGGGCCAGAGATGCGTCGAGCAGGGAGGGCCCCGCGAGAGCCATTTTCTCCTCTCTTCCTGCCTGCAGCTGATGTACCTGAGATCATGCCTGGACGATATACACAAGACCAAAAGAATTCCGGAAGATTACATGTTGGCTGGTCAACTTGGGTAAGCTTTGTTTGGAGAGGAAGGCGGAAGGGTCCGGCACACACCTTTTTCTGGCGCCAAGGGAGAGTCCAAAATCAGCCTGGAGCAAATGACTTTCCCCTCCCCTGAGGGGGCCGATTCGCCTCCTCAAATTTTAGAACAAACTCAATTCTTCTCACACGAAGACTCAGGTCCTAAGAAGAAGATCCCTGTGGTGGTCTCTGAATCTCAAGAGGTTTCCCCCCCCCCCCCAGGGTCCTGAATGTGGCCCTGAAGGAAACGGGATGTCTTCTTCTCAAACAAGGGAAGGCAGGTGCCACATCTGCTTCACATAGCCCCGCAGAACCGACCTGGTTTGAGTAAAGCGTTTGCTGAGGTTCTGGACAATCCAACCCTCCCTGGTCCTAGTTGAGGACTCTTGGACTGGGGAGGGGGAGGCTGGGCCTCTCCTCCTCTCCAGGAAATCCATGGCCAAGAATAGGCTGGAATGGGATCCACCCTCCCAACCCAGCCTCTTCACCTCTTATCCATCCTGCCTGGTTTCTTGTGTTGGGAGCCAAGCAGCCCAGACACACTCTGAGCGCCAATGGTTAGGATTAGGGATCCCCCTGGATCGTGCCGGCTCTCCCGCGGTGATTTTCATTGGACCTTGGAAAAATAGGGAAAAATAGATTCTCTTCCTGGGACTTGTTTGGTGATATCCGAATGAAAAGACAAAAGATTGGGTTCTGCCCACTTTGATGCCAAGTTCAGGGCAGGGCACACACCCAATGCATGGGCTTCTTTGCGAAGTACAATCATGGTTAGCTTGATTGCTCGATTGTTGAGGGAAGAACGTTCCCCCAGACTCCCCCGGCTCACCTGAGCCTCCAGCCGCTCCGGTCTGTGGCATTCTCTTTGCTGGCTCTTTGAACAAGAGCCAAGGCCTCCACTCCATGCCCCGTTCAGCTAGCTGGGTGGAACTGTCTGCCAAAAAAGGGCCAGGCGATCTTTCTCCTTTTGGGAACCAATCCAAGCCGTTTCATTTAGGAGCCAGGACAGCACGAAGTTGCCCAGAGTGAGGAACGCCCCAAAGAAATGGTAAGCAGCCCCCTTTTAATATTCCCCCTTGATTAGGGTGATGAAATCCACATTTTTCCCCTGCATGCCTGAAGTATCACAATTCAGCAATGGAAAATACTTCCAATCGTGGCCTTGTAGAAAAATATCAAATGTGGGCAGTTAAGATCATAGAAAAAAAACACCCAACTCTGTTTTGACTACATCTGCTGCTTCGCTTTCTGCCTCTTGCAAATATTAATTTGGAACTTTAAAAAAAAAACTTCAGACCTTAAAAGAAATGGAGAAAATTTGAAACGGAGCTGGGTTGCTTATTTGGAAGTGTGTACCTGTATGCAGGCATGTGCTTGGTCTGCACAGCTGAAAACAGCTTTTGACCAAGACTGTTTCTTTCCTGGTCCAATTGGCGTGTTCCAAAACATGTTAACGCTGACATCAACCCAGCAGTCTTGAGGTAACCCCAATAACAATGTATTTTTGAGCATTTTCCCCTTTGTTGGCTGAGAGAGGACAAGAGAATAGTTGCTTTTGCTTGAGGAGGAGTCCTTTACAAGGCCTTGAAGAATGGCCGCCCCCTTCAAGCCTCCTCCCCACCCACCAACAGGCCCGCTTTGTTTTCCAGCCGGATCCTGACCCCGCTGCCCGCTGCCGAAAGAGCCGTGCTGCCCGCCCTGAAGCAGACGCTGGGGAATGCCTTTGCCGAGAGGCAGAAACGAGCACAGGCCGTTCAGAGGAACCGGCTGCACAGGACCGCCCTGTAGCCAGGAGACCACCACCCCACCAGCCACCTCGGCAGCCGGCTGCCCTTGGGGCCCCCCCCCCCGGGCCCCCGGGGCCGCTTGGGGGGCCCTCCCCCCCCCCCCGATTCTTGTTAGACTTTGTATGTATGCCGACTTTCGTGCTCGCCGCACGACAGAGAGCCAGAGTTCTAGTGCTTAGTTGCGAAGACCGTCTTGCCGTCCAAAGCAGCGCTCTCCTCCGTCTGCCATAGCGCAGGAGGAGGCCCAACGCAGGCGAGCCTGCTTAGATCAAAGGGATGTGTGAAAACATAGCAAACGTGGGCTGGTAAAAAAGAGCCTGGGTGTTAAAATACTGTACCAATAGATTTATTACAATAAAACAAACGCATTGATTGGTGTTGGAAAGATCGTGCCACTTGTAAATAATCAGCATCTTGCAAAGTAATCACTTGAAAATCTTCAGAAGGGGCAGAGTGCTCAGAGGTTGACAGGAGGGGCAGCGGCAGCACCCCGGGTGGCGTCTTAAGAACGCCAACCTTCGGGAAGGCGGAAAAACAGTGTCCAAACAGCCCCATTCCTGGAACTGAAGTGCCAGAAGCATCAGCTGGAGTGCCGAAAGCAGGAGGTTCTGTCTGAACCCACGGTGGTCCCGATCCCGGCCAGCCCCCACTGGATGCCTCGGGAGTCGTGGAGCGCGGTGGGTCCTGCTGTTGAGCGAGGGCAGGGCTGATGCCGGACCGGCTGCCCTTCTTGCCCTGAGGGACCGAGTCCGCGTTCCACAAGCTCGTCTCTGCAAAGGCACCTTGAGCCCTCCTCTGGAAACCGGACCTTCCCGTGAGTGTCGTTAGGAGCCTGGCCAGCCGCCAGAGACAGAAGCAGCGCAAGCAGAAAGGCCAGCTCCGAGCCCAGGAAAAGCTCCTCTTGCTCCCCCTGGTGCCTGGCTGGCGAGGCTGGCGGGTCAAGCGGCAGACAAGCAGGCCTGCCGGATGCTCTGGGCCCAGGTGTTGAGCAGGGCGGTGACCGAGTGCTTGTCCGGCAGCTGCAACAATTTGGACATCATGTAGCGATACACCGACTGCAGGAAAGGGTTTGCCTCTGCAAAGGGAGACTCGAGGTCAGCAGGAGAAACCGAATGGGCTCTCCTGCTTGAGCAGGCGGCCGGACTAGATGACCTCCAGTGTCCCTTCCGCCCCAATTCCTATTAAGAAAGAGGCACCATGACCCCTGCCCTGCAGAACCAGGAGTAGAAACTCAGGAAGGCGGTTCCTTCTTTATAAACAGAGCCTTGACCTGTGGGAGCCATTTTTCTACCCAGCTTGCTCTCTGCCCCCCCCCCCCCCGCCATCGTACGGGTTCCGAAAGTCCTTTGGCTCAGCGATGGGGTCCCGGGATTCCCCCCCCACCAGCTGAGGGCGTGGCCAGAACGGGGCTGCCCAAAACGACTGAGCGCAGGACAGGAACAAGGAGCCACGCCCCAGCCGCCAGCGCCCTACCGTATTGCTGGGGGTTGTCGATCCAGAGGGGGCTCTGCTCCGGGTAGTCGGCCGGCACGCTGAGCTGCAGTGGAGGGACGCTCGGAAGGTTCTTGTCATCTAGAACCAGAGGTGCCATTTGTGTGTGTGTGCGTGTGTGTGTAATCTTGCAAAACCCACCTGGAAGCTTTTTTGCACCTCCATCCAAAGCCCCAACCAGCCCTTCTCTCTTCCTCCGCCCCCCCTGCCTCCCTCGGGGGGGGTGGGGGGCAGACCCTGCAGGGGCCCCAGCCCCCAAACAGCCTTGGCCACTCACCTATCTTGCAGATGAGGTGGACAGTGCCGTTGTTGCTGCAGTGGGCGGGGTCGAGGTTGACAAGGAACTTGGGGTTCAACCTGGCCACCTCCCCTTGCAGCACATTGGGGATGGTCTGCCGCTCGTCGTCCTCGTACTTCCGCTTCCGGGGGGAAGGCACCGGGGTCCTGGGCAGAGAGAGGGGCCCACCCGGCCAGGCAACTGTTCACGGCTGCATCCAGGCACACAGCTAGTCCTCGACTTACAACAGCTCCTTACCAACCTTTCCCCAGGGACAAGAGTTCGGAAGAGACGCCTGACTTGGGGCAGCTTTTCACACCTGGGACCCTTGTGGGGACCCTCTCTCTGGTCAAAATCCGGCTGCTTCGGTGTCCCCTGATCCCCTTTTGTGACCTCCTGACAAGCAAAGTCAGTGGGGAAGCCGGATTCACTTAACGACCGTGTTAGTAACTTAGCTACTACAGTGGTTCACTCAACAAAGGTCGTAAAACGGGGCAAACTCACTTCCCAGCTGTCTCCCTTAGCAACAGAAATTTTGGGCTCCACTGTGGTTGTAAGTCAAGGACCACCTGTAACCGTACCTTTTTATTTTTCGTACATTTAACGAAGACGAGGCCCGCCAAACCAAGCCCCCGGGAGTGTGAATGTGGCCAATTCCAAAGGCTTCCCCAACGCTTCGGCCCGGCTTGTGTTCCCCAAAACCTTCCCGCCTCTGGAGTTGGCTCGCTCTGTCCCAAGAGAGTGGAAGAGGGACGCTTACATGATTGGGGGGCCATGGATGGCGGTCACGGCCGGCATGAAAGTCCGATAGAGGGAATGATTGAAGACCGGTGAGCGGATATTGGCAAGGACAGCATCCAGCAATGGTTGGCACAAGTACTGCTGCTTTGTGGGAGGCACTGCAGGGGGAGGAGGGGTGGGCTGGCACACAAGAGAGACACCCGTTACCTGCACGTCAAGCGAGCCCCTCTGTGGCTACCTCGACCTGCTTAGTAGGTCTGAAAAGGTAGCGAACACAAAAAGGCCAACTGAAACGCCGAGGCTGTTTCCTTACCCTCGTTCTAGCGGTCTAGTGCAGGGGGGCTCCAACCTTAGCAACTTTTAAGACGTGTGGATTTCAACTCCTAGGATCCCAAGGTTGGAGACCCCTGATCTAGTGAGAGTCTGGACTCTCCGGAGGCCCGTTTTCCCCCACCTGGTCAATGCGGAGGAGCGCAGCTAGGATCAGAAAGGGAGTCTTTCTGATCTGGTGGTTGGCTCAGCCCCTCCTTGGCTCTGGCCTGGCCCATCCCTGCCTGCCGCCTCCTGCGCACTCAGTTCAGGCTCTCTTTCCACCTGCAACTCCAGGGCCTCCCCGAAGGGCAGAGCCCGAGTCCCTGAGGGATGGACAGGCTGCTGTATTTGGGGATAACAGAAAGGCGGGAGAATTCGCCCCCCCCACTCCGCTTACCACGGCCATGTCGTTCTTGAGCTTCTCCAGAGCAATTTCGCATTTCTGCAACGTTTTCAGAGGGCAGCTGAAGAGGAAAGAAAAAGGGCTCTCAGATGCCCCCCCCTGGGGAAAAGCAGGACATGCCTTGGATCTACGGCCAAAGCCGCGACCAGGAAGTGAATGCGACCCCCCCGTTTGTCAGCATCCCCCTGGGGCTGAGAAGAGCGAAAGGTACGGAGGGGCTGCTAGCGGCCGAGAGCACCCGTGCAATGCTGGGACTGATCGTACGATGGAGGCCTGTAGCGATGAGGAGCCGGTGGAGCAGGCCCCCCGCCCCCCACCCCTGAGCTTCCCTGCAAGGGAGGATCCCCACGGGGGAGGGGGGGGGAAGCAGCGGCAGAGGCTCGCGGGGGAAAATGTGCCACAACCAAGAATTTACCGCTTCTTAGGATCCGTCAGAATGTCCAGCAGACTCTTCATCTTGCTCAGGTCCTTCTTCCTGTCTGGATGGGAAAAAGACAGGGATGCCCAAACCGTCAGAAGAAAACGGGGGGGGGGGGGGGGCATGCGTGGTCTATAGGGTAGCCTTGCAGTCCATTCCCTTCACTGGGGAACTCGAAAGCAAAATGTAGAATTGGCCCAAATTGAACAGAGTCAGAAAAAGAAAAGAAAAACCCAGCAGCCAAAACATAATCCCACCACGGAAGGCCTGGGAGGTGATTCTGTTACCGTATTTCCCCATGTATAAGCACCCCCTTTGTATAAGCCACCCCCCCAATTTTTGGACTGTGAAGTTTTGAAAAAAATATTTTATTAGAGAAACAAGTTATGAAGAAAGAAAATTTACAAAGAAACAAAATTCGACGTCTAGATCTACAACTTCGGTCATGACGCCGAAAGCGGTGCGGGCGACGCTAGCAATCTACGCATCGGAACGAGAGTAGGAACGAAGCATTCAGGCCGATGCCTAGCGTATGCATTTCTATCGCATACTCGCACTCGTAATCGTATCATCACGTACAATTTTTACAAAAAAGTATAGCATACTGCTGGAAAACCAGTTTATTCCTACTTTATTATTTTATGCATTTTTCACGTATAAAAAGTGTACCTGCTTTGTATATGCCACCCCCCTACTTTTTGGGCTTGAAAATTTTGGAAAAAAGGGGTGGCTTATACATGGGGAAATACGGTATATTGCACTGTTATGACTCCCCTTCAAAATTCCAACGAACAAAACAGAAAGCAGCCGTTTCAAATTAAATCAAACAGAAAGAAGTCTTACAAGATAACGGCTGGCAGAAATCTCAATCCACAGCATAAATCTTTACTCCGTCCGGCAAACCAGTCCTGGCAATAAATCTCTAGTCTCAGAGCTCCTTGCTGTAACGTTCTCACTCAAATAAGTCACTTTGTTCCTGGCAAATTGTACCAGCCCAGCTGTGTCCTTTTATACTCATTGAGGCAACGTGCTAAATTACTGACTCGCTCTCCTCTTTCGCTCCCGCTGATTTTGCCTTCTCAACCGTCTTCCGTTCCTTACATTTAACCACAAATTTTCCAGGTTCTCATCTCCACTAGAAGACTCTCTCAAAACTTCCCTGTCAGCCATTCCCGGCTGTTGATCAGATAAGGAACCATAGGAGGTCAAAGGTCCTGACAATTCTAATACATCAGGTCTGTCTTCCTTTGTCACATCCATCTCCTCATCCTGGTTATCAGTCCAATCACTAAGCCAGGCCGGCTCATATTTTTCTGCCATGTCCTCCTCACTTGAACTCATATCAGTCACAGGAGCTGAATCCAAGCCCGGAGCCACAACACTGCACTATATTAATTTATTTGATCCTTTTTTGTTAAGTTTTTGTTGTTTTAAATGTGGTTTTATATTCTGCAAGCCTCCTTGAGTCGCCATGGCGGCAATATAAATTCCATAAACAAACAAACGAACAAACTGGAATTCCTGATTTTGGCCTCGTAGGAATATTTCCCCCCATTTCCCCTGAGCTGATTGGCCTGGATTAATAACATAAAGGTAACTAGGGACGTTTCCCATCACCTTCTCTTCCCCCTCCCCCCCTCTGCTTCCAGTGGAATCATTGCCAAATGATATATGTATGTTTTGGACAATGAAGGAGTCCTTTGACTAATGTGTGTCGTCTGCCATGGATTTATAAGCAAAGAGTGCGCTATTGACCATGGCTATGAAAAAAAATATCGCAGCATCAATGATTGGATGAAATTGCATTTTTTAGAGTCAGGTTTGATGAAGTGACATTTAAAGTGACATTTATAAAGTCTAAATTTAAAGCTTTGGCAAAGCAAAACGACCAAGTGAATAAAATTATTGATCACGCTAAGCCAAGTGAATGACAGGGTCAACTTTTTAGAAAACAGTGAAACCACTTTTGCGCTTTTTGCTTTAAACTGAAATGAGACTTTAATTTTGGGATTTGATTATTAAAACTTTCGTGATTATAGAAAAACTGTGTACTATTGAATTTTAAAGCAAAAGGTTACTGATTTTTGGCATTTTAACTGTACTGAAGAAAACCAGAAGTTATTCTATTTTGTTTTCTTTATTCCTTGCACGTTCCCCCCATTATCTTTTAATTTTGTTCTCTTGTAGAAATTCAATAAATTGTGTATATGGGGAGGGGGAGAAAGTAAGTTCTTCTCCCACTCCTGTGATTGAAAGCACAGAACCCCCCCCCCCCCCCCACAAAAAACCCCCAAAAAAAAGGGGGACCCAGACCTTCGTTTTTGTCAATCTTGTTGATCATCCTGCGCAGAGGCTCGATGTATTTGGACAGCTGCTTGAGCTTCTCCAAGTACTGCTGCTCCTCGGACTGGCTGGAGCTGGCCGGGCTCATGACAGAGCTGGGGTTGCCTTGCAGGACAAAAAAACAGCGTGTTAAAGGGGAGGGGGGGGTGGCTTAGCAGAGCTCCCCTCCCCCGCCCGCTTAGCCTCAGGTCTTGAGGATTCAGGAGCAGGAGGCTGACCGGCCCAGTCCACTGAGGGCAGGGCAGAGCTTCCCACCTCACAAAGCCAGGTGCCACAAGAAGAGGTATCAGGTAGAACAGTGATGGTGAACCTTTTGGTTGTGGTGTGCCCCCGCTCTGTTCCCTCGCCTACACTGTGCATTCGCACACCTCCCAGCTGATTTTCGGCCTGTTTGAGGCCATTTTCACCCTCCCGGAGGTTTGAACCTCTGCAGCCTCGGGAGGCCGAAAAATGGGCCTTCTGGAAATACCGGAAGTGCCCATTTTCAGCCTCTGGAGGCCGAGGGAGGCAGTTATCACCCTCTCAGAGGCTTGAGGGAAGCCCGTTTTTCAGCCTCCCGAGGCTGCAGAGGCTTCTCTCGAGCCACTGGGAGGGCGAAAATGGCCTCAAACGGGCTGAAAACCAGCTGGGAGGCACGCACATGCACAGTGCAGGTAAGTTTGGCTGGGGCTCACCTGCCTGCACAAAGGGCTCTGCGTGCCAGGTTGGCCATCACGGAGGTAGAAGATGAAACTGAGGTATTAAACAAGAGGAGCCTCCTGCCTCTAGGTCAGGGCTCCCCAACCTTGGCCACTTTAAGCCTGGCGGACTTCAACTCCCAGAATTCTTAAAGTGGCCAAGGTTGGAGACCACTGCTCTAGGCGATTCTTTCCTCTCCCTATCGTGTTAAAATACAGCTTAGCTGTAACTTCAGGCAGCTTACAGGAACTGGAAACTAAACAAGGAGAGAAGCAACCTAGAACTCGGGAGAAATTTCCTAACCATGAGAACCGTTAATCATGGAATTAATCTCCGGAATGATGTAGGGCCTCCTGTTTGAGTGGAGGGTGGGGTGGGGGTTGGACTAGAAGACCTCCAAGTCCCCTCCAACTCTGCCATTCTGTTATTCAGCTCCCACAGTCACTGGGCCTCCTTCTCTGACCTGGCCAGGTCCCCCAAAAACCCACTGCCAAGAACCCTCCCCCTGAAGGAATCCACCATGGAAACTCTTTCGTTTTAGAAGAGGCCGCAAGCGGTGCAGGGCACCTGGTGTGTTGAGCGGCCCCGGAGATGGGACGCTGAAGTTCTGCGGTGTGCGGGCAGCTGCCGGGCTCTGTGAAGGCTGCGGAGACGGACTGGGAAGGAAGCTGCTGGGAGACGGGGCTGGCCCGGAACTGGAAGAGGAGGAAGAGGAAGATTCAACGCCCGGAGCAGAGACGGGCCAGCGGCTGCTGCTTTCACTCCACCGAGAGATCAGCCCTCACCTGACATTGGAGTTGGGTTGGGAGTTGGGCTGCCCGGGCTGAGGAGAAGGCTGTGGCTGAGGCGGGGGGGGCATCGGCTGGGGTGTCGGGGCTTGCTGGACCGGAGACGGGGAAGACATCATGGTGATGCTGCTCTGGCTGACCTGGAAGAGAAAGTCCGTCTATGGCAAGAGGCGCCTCGGCAGAGCAGGCAGACTTGGGGTCCCGCACTCAGGCCCAAGGAGCCCCTCTCCTTTGGGTCTCTGTGGCCGCCTCTCAGCTGAACCCCAACATTACGAGGGGACCGTGAACTATTTCCTCAGTTGCACAAAGCAAGCCCATAAAACGAAGACTGGAGGCCCTTGTAAGCGTGAGGAAGGTGGCCAATATATGTCTCCCGTGACCCCACTGCACCCCGCCTGGCTCTGAGCGGCTCTCGAGAGAAACTAATCCCAGAGAGACCGGGACAAAATGGCATCTGGAAACAGGTGGCCTTCGGTTAGCTGACTGATATGGCTGCCCGTCACAAACTGCAATTCATCCGAGTGCAGAATTAGCTCACCTTAGCCGGAGGTTCCCAAATCCTATCCACATTTTGAAAGGCCGCTTCCTTGGTTCCCGGCATAACCCACAATTGAAGAAGATGCCACTCTAGCACCACCGGGGTGCACCGACTACTAAGGAGGCCTCTAAGGACCCTCGGGGACAAGTTCAGTCAGCCAGAGAGAGCCCAATGCCCGCCAGCCCCTATTTCGACCAGAATGCACAATGGCTGGGCAAGAAGATGGCCAGAGCTCAGCTTCCCACAAACTTTATCTAAGCCTGGACTTACAAAACGTACCAATTCTCTCAGGAACGTGACCCCCGACTTGAAGGCAGATGGTTCTGAGTGCAAAGTGTGTTCAGATTCAAAGCTTCCTCCATTAGGCCTCTCAGCTGCCTTTACAGAAAGCCACTTTCGTGACCGAAAGCCAAGGAGACACCTGAGCACGTCCGTCCTCCAACCTCACCACGCAACAGCGCCATTAGTCAGGAGCTGCGCTGGGAAGGAAAACTCCCGAGGAGGAGAAAAAGGAAGTCACGGGGAGGGGGCTGCAGCTTCTTCTCAGACCAAGATAACAAAAGGGGCTTTTCAGAAATCGCCCTTGGCGGAGACGCCACCGCACAGAGGAGGCATGGAGGGCTGGCCAGGCAGAACAATCGGCAAGAAGGCCCCAGCGCAGGCCAAGAAAGCCAGAGGGATGGAAATGCCACGGAGGTGCCGCCGCTAGTCTCCTCTTGCCACCCAGAGCCCCGGGCCACAGGGAGGACGTGGACTAAACCCCCGTTTCAGGTTGATGCACTGCCAGGTAAGTCAAACGCAAGCTTCGCTGCAGACCAAAAACGGCTTTCAAGGCCTGCCCCCAAAAGAGGACGGAAGCTGAACGTGACCTGCCTTCTCCCTGGACTTGTATCGGGGGCTCTGAAGCTACCAAAATCATCGCGTAACCTCCAGGTTCAGAATGGGAACAGCCACGGGAAGAGAGAAGAGCTGCTGCTTGGGGGGGGGCAGAAGGAGGTAACTGGTTGCAACTGGATGGCTACCCAACCAGCTGGCGGGAATAGAAGAGTCCTTAGACTTATACACCGCTTCACGGTGTCTTCACAGCGCTCTCTAAGCGGTTTACAGAGCCAGCCTCTGGCCCCCAACAACCTGGGTCTTCATTTTACCCACCTGGGAAGGAGGGAAGGCTGAGTCAACCTTCAGCCTGGTAAGGATCAAACTGCCAAATTGCAGGCAGCCAGCAGGCAGCAGAAGGAGCCTGCAGTTACTGCACTCTAACTACTGCGCCACCGGGGCTCAATCCTTCCAAGAAGGCCACTGGCACGATAAAAAGGCAGGAAAAACAGAAAAGGGGGGGGGTGAGACACCCCGGGAAAGGGGGAGGGTGCGGCTATTCTGACCCAAAGCAGGGTCAACCGAGGCAGCCACTGGCTAGCAACCCGGAGAAGCCACCCCAAGGGCGCTGAGGGAAAACGGGCCCAGAAACAGCCCAATTAACCTGGCCCTCTCCCCCTTTGATCCTGACCCAATTCACAGGATACCGAGCGTGAAGATAGAGGAGAGGAAGCAAAGCCACCAACCCGGATGATTTGACCCCACCCCGACACCCCCAGGGATCAAGGCCTTGGACTGCCGTCTGCCAGAATGATAAAAACTGAGAAAAACGACTCTTTGGGCTCTAGGAGCTTGAAGTAAGTTTGACGTGTAAAGTTCTCTTGCGTTTTCCTTCCAACCTATTGAAGGAACTGTAAAACGGAGCCCAGATCTCGGCAGAAGGGCTCCGTTCCAGGGTTTAAGAGAAGGCGGAGGAGGAGCTCCGGAGCCGAGGGGCAACGGAAAAGACTCCCTTCGGTCATGACCCCGCCCCCAGGACCGCCACCCCCAAACTGACCCTGCCTGCTCTGGAGGATGTCAGCGGCATCAAGTCTCTCTCCTCACCTGCATTCCCGTCTCAGCTCCCGGACAGCACCGCCACCCCCACCCCCCCAGCAGCTGCTCTGAGCGCGGGCCAAGGGTGGGAGATGACCGACCGCGGCCCATCAGCCCTTGCACAAACCCCCAGCCACACAACCCACTCCGCCCCACGAAGTACCTGAGGCATTTGTGGTCCACCCAAAGGCATGGTGCTTGGAGGCGTGGCAGAGACAGCGGTGGTGGGCGGGAACCGTGGTCTTATTGGCATCCCACCTCGGGCCATACTTGCGGTGATCATCTTGGGAGGACAGAGGGACAGACAAAAGTAATCGCAACACGAGAAATGCAGCACATTGGCAGGATAAGAAGCGCATGCAGCCCTCTGGGGAGCCGGAAGCCAAGCGCACTCGTCCCAGGAAGGCTCCTGGCTAATGCAGCGGGAGGGGGGGCCACTGCAGTCCCGTCACAGGAGAGGTGGGACGGGGAGGGTCACCTCTAGGGGAAGCCCAGGGGCCACTGGCACTGCGTTTGTCTCCTTCTAGCAAGGGGCACAGGCCTGGGTGGAGACACAGGTGGACCTGTGGCCGGATCAGCACCTGGCGAGCATTCAAGTAAGCCAGCTGGGGGTGTCGGCACCAATTGGCCGGCCTCTTTGGGGAACCACCACTAAGTCAAAGACTGCAGCGGCCATAGCACACGTGTCAGAAGGTCAGCGCTGGCCACGGCCACTGCAGAAGAAAAGCATGCAGGCGCCACAGCCAAAGGGGAAAGAAGCCACAGCTCGGGAGCATCCAATGAGAGCATCATGCTTAGCTGATGGGCAACAAGGAAGCTCCGTTCCCAGCCTGGGCTGGGGGGAGCCGCTCAGAAGCAGCCCCGGGGAGGAGACACGGACCACATGCACACGGGCTGGCAACATCCACCGCATGCAGGGGAAGGGCAGCCACAACCAGCAGGCAGCGCTGCGCAACACCAGCTTCCAAGCGAAGGCAGGCGGGACGATGGGAGGGGGGGGGGCAGCAAGACAGGTGGGGGCAGCGGCAGATGGACTCCCTCCAGGCATTCCTCCGCATTCTGAGCCACGCGGGAGGCCCAGCCTCCTGCCACACTGCCAAAGGGGAGCCGGTGGGAGCCAGAGGCAGCCCTGACCCGGAGCAGGAGCACCACCACCACCGTCAGCACCACCAGGGACCCCCACGGACAGCAGCCGGAGGCTCCAGCAAGGCAGCAACCCTCAGCTTCCAGGGAGGCAACCTGTCAAACCTGCCCTGCAGCATATCAGGGGCGCATGAGCCAGGAGAGCAGCTGCTCAGGGCCTGGAACAGCAGCCCCAGCTGGGCCCGGGGAAGGGACGGCCTGCTCGCCTCTCTTGCAGAGGCCCAGCAGAACCTGCGAGGCTGCCTCCCAACAGGGGAGCTGAGGGACGGAGGCCCCAGGAGAAACGGCCTAATTCTGCCCCCCCACCCCAAAGGGACGGATGACCGGCCAAGCTGACTGAAAGGCCGGGGGAGCATTTTGTGAAGGGCCACTCCAGCTGTTCTCCAAGGTGGACAGAGGCCTTTCAGGGCTGGTGCTGCCAAGGTGCCCTTCCCTGGCTTCAGCCCCCAGGTGTGCTCAACTGAACTGCAGGGCCCGTAGCCCATCACAGGCATAGCCTCAGGCGACTCTTCTCTGCACCCCCACCTCCACCCCCGCCCCCCCACCCCAAGATCCCACTGCACAGCCAGAACACCCTCTGGGGAGATGTGGAATTGTTGAAAGGGGCAAAGTTGCAAAGACATGCTCAGCCCAGGTGCGCCTCCCCTAGAAAAGACACTGGCGCTCAGCAGCCCCCACCCAGTTGCTTTGGAAGAAGAAAGCAGAAACCGGCCTGTAGGTGCTCTGGTTCCCCCGGTCTGGCCAGGCGGTTGCTAAAGTGAGAAGCCCCCCAAGTTTTCACCCGGGGCAAAGGTGAAGAAGCCTCCCCTCTCTTTGCCACCTTCAAAGACGCATCCAACGAGCTGCCCCAGAGGGTGGAGGCCATTCTGGAGCCAAGTGGGCACACTGGTGTTTTCAGCAGATTTGGGGCTCTCTCCCAAAAGTGGGTCGCTTGATGTAGCTTTATGTCCCTCCAGATCCTGCCCTTTTCTGCCCCCCAAGATGCGTCTAAGGGATTGTTGTGGTTTGCCAACAGCCGGTGCAGACGGCAGAGGTATCAGACAGTGAGGAAGAAAGGGGACCAGTCAGGGAGTCTGGGGAGGATTTGGAGGAGGGTCCTGCATCCGATGCAGGGATGGGGCCAGGACCATCTGATATTCTTTTATTTTAACACTTATCCAATCTTTAACCCAGGTCAGAATGGCCGCTCTGTAATATATTCCCCAGTCCAGTAGGCCGAATCCTCCTTTTTTAGCCGCACTACTTCGCCAAATTCCTCTAATTGCTCTATCAATTTTGGTCCCGAATTTTGCGGATCTTCTAAAATAAAAACCAAATCGACAGCGAAGGCTTGTAATTTATATTCTTCTTCCTTTATTTTTAGTCCTTTTATTTCCGGTTCTTTCCTAATTATTCTTGTTAGTCAAAATGAAAATAAATAATAAAGGTGATAATAGACATTCCTGCCTCGTTCCTTTATGTATCTCAAATTTATTTGTTGTATGGTCATTTGACAATATCCTAGTTTGTTGTTTATTATATATTGCTGATACTACATTTAGGAATTTTTGCCCCAAATCCACATACTTAATTTGTTGCAGAATGAAACTCCATTTTACATTGTCAAAGGCCTTTTTAGCGTCCAGGAATCATAATGCTACCTATTCTCCACTACGCTCTTCATAATACTCTATGATGTCTAAAATTGTCCTAATATTATTGCTAAGATGTCTATGTGGAAGGAAGCCATTTTGGTCTGTGTGTATAAATTTATTTAGTATTTTCTTGAATCTTTCGGCTATTATGAAAATTTTATAGTCCACATTTAATAGAGATATTGACCTATAATTTCCTATCTTTGATCATTTTTTTCTTTTGGAATAATCGTAATCGTTGCTTCCTTCCACGATTCCAAAATCTTTGCCTTATCCAGGACTTTGTTAAATAATTTAAGTAATCTGTCGCCTAATATTTCTTGTTGAGTTTTGTATAATTCAGCAGGGAGTGCATCCGGGCCAGCCGCCTTGTTATTTTTTTGTTTATTTATTGCCCAGGTCACTTCTTCAAGATTTATACTTCTATTCAATAGGATTTTTTCTTCTTCCGATATTCTCGGAAGATTCGCTTTCTTGAAACATTTTATCACTTTTTCTTCCATTATGTGTTCTTTATATAAGTCCTCATAAAATTTTTGGGCTATATTCCTTTTCATTTCTTCTTGATAATGTATTTCCCCGTTTGTTTTGTAGCTTAGTGATCCATCTATTTTCCACTGTTTTTTCAATTTCCAGGCTAGCCATCTTCCTGGTTTATTGGCATTCTCAAATACATTTTGTTTTATTCTTTTCAGATTTTGGGCTAAATCTTCTTTTTCCAGCAAATTTATTTCATGTTTTATTAAGTCCATTCTTGTTTTTCACCGGGGAATTTAGGCCATTAATGTTCATCGAAATTACCTCATATTTCTTTTTTCTTTTCTATTTCTTTGTCTCATATTTCTTGTTGCTCTCGTTTTCCTGGATTCTGCATATTGTCTTTCATATGTTTCTGCCTTTCTTCTTCCATATCTCCTCTCCTTCTTGTCCGTGAATTTTCTTCCTTATTTTCTACCTCAGCTCCTCTTTCCTCAGCCAAGTCTTTCCTTTCTTCCTCTTCTTCCACTGCTGTCTCTTCTTCAATAGCAAATTGTTGATCATAGAAATCTTCCACTTTGTCAATTGTGTCTAGTTGATGTCTCTTCTCCTGCCAGTTGAACATAATTCCCTAGCGCATTAACCATCTAAAACTTATGTTATATTTTATTAGCTTCATTGTCAGAAAGTGGTAAGGTCTCCTCAAATTCCCTAACTCTTCTCGGCACCTGTTTAAGAACAGTTGTTTTCCGTTATGTTCTACAGGATCATCTCTCATTCTGTGTAATGTTTCATCGCACACCGACTTCTTAATCAGTCGAACATGAACTTCTGTAGGAAGATTGTGCCTTCTTCCACAGTTTGTCTGTACTCTATACATCTCGTCTATTTCCATCACAATTTCTTCTTTTTCCAATTTCAATATTTTCGCAATTATCTCACCCATTACATCCGGCAAATCATCTTCTTTTTCCTCCTTAATATTTCGGAATCTCAGATAGTGAGCTGCTTTTTCTGCTTCCAGTAGAATTACCGTAGATTCCAGCTCTTCATTTGTTTGTATCAGCTTATCTATCAGGTCTTCCACTTTTTTTCTCCTCTTTATCCATTTTAGATTCTATTTCTGCTATCTTGGTTTTTCCTCATGTCTTGTTGGTACCACACAAATTTTTCATCTATAATTTGGATTTTTTTCTTTTGATTCAGATCTTACTGATCCTATCTCTGTTTTCAGGTCTTCATGGTTTTTAGATAGCATTTCTTGCAAATTCGGCATTAGTCCTTGTAGATCTTTTATCGAGTTCGATCTCTCCCTTGGTAACATTTTGTCTATAGCTCTCTGTGTGGAGGGACTGGCCATTGAGGTCGTTGTCAATGTTTGGGTATTTTTTTTTCCAGCTCCCGGCTTAGGTTTATTTGTATTACTTGTCATACTAAATATCTTTGCTATAATATTTTTTCCACCACCTCTTCCAGTTTTTTTCTTCTCTTTCAAATCCCTCGTTTTTTAATTTCTAACACTAACATGTCACTCTGCAATATTTAATTAATAATTTTCCCCCTTATATCAGTTCTATAACTATATCACTTGTCCAAATATTTATATTAATATTGAAGCCAATCTAAAAATAAATCCAATCTAATACCCAATAATCAGTAGTATGTTAAAATATATCCACAATAATACCAATCAATATATGATAATTAATTTTAACAAATATATTGCTTAGAATAATCCCACTTAGTCAAACCTTGAAGATAACAAATATATATCTAATTAATCTATAGCATAATATACCAATCTATCAAAATATATAATAATAAAAATTTTCTCTTATACTTTAAGTAATCAACCTAGCTATCAGGTATATATTATATGATTTATATTTGTATTTGTATATTTGTATAATTGTATCAATCTATATTACCCAATATATGCAGAGATCAGAGTGTATTACATTTACCTATATACTTGCCTATATATGCAATAAATTAATAAATTTCTTAATAAGTTAAGAATCAACAAAATGTACCAAAAAGAAAAGAAGAACAAGAGCTTTACTATAAAGGGACAAATAACCAAGTATCCTTTTTCTTGTTAGTTTCACTTCAGTTCAGAAACCAGCAGGTGTCTCTCATGAAGCGCTACGATGTCTCTTTGTCAACTTCAAAATTGCAGGCTCATTTCTTTGTACCCTCCATTTTAATTAGTTCCAAGTTTCTTTTTCCAAAAAAGTTCAGAACAGTTCAAAAAGAAATATAGAGCCAAAATCCAAAAAGAATTCAATTTCACCATGATATTTGATCAAAGTTATCAATTCTCTCTCGGTTTTTTAAATCAAGTTCGTAAGTTCAAAGTTAACCGGCTGTGTGGCGCAACAGCCATTTCTGGGGTCCTCGGTCTTCCTGGCACAGGCGGCCTGGAAGGGCCGCTGGGACTCTGGCAGCCTGAAGACCGAGATGAGGGATCCCCAGCTGGGACTGTTGTGCGACTGGGGAAAGCTGAACTGAGCTGATCCCTCTGGGGGAGAGACGGGGAGGAGAGCAGGTCTGCGGAGTGGGAGAGCGCAGGGCAACGGAGGGAGAGGGTGGAGGAGGCACGAGTGTGGGACGAGCGATCCAGGCCAAAGGCAGAAAAGGCCGGCCTTTGGGCCTCCCTCGAGAGCGTTGGGGGGCTGAGGCCGATGCAGAACGGCTGGCAGAGCTGGGGAGTCTGGGTATCTCTGGCGCAAGGCACCCCGACCTCAGAGCGAGCGGGACAAAGAGTCCCACGAAGGGTCTTCCTTGGAGCAACAGGGGCCCATCCAAGACAGAGCCAAGGAGAGGGAGAAATGGCGGGGGGGGGGGCTTAACTGACAGCCAGTCATCTCAAAGTTACAATGGCACTTAGAAGCAACCAGTTCCCACCCTCCCCACCTTAGCCGCGTCCCCGCATCACGTGATCAAAATTGGGGGGCTTGGCAACCGGCCTGTATTTACGACTGCTGCTCTGTCCCTGGATCACCCTGTGCAGCTTCCCCAGCCGGCTTCCAGGCAAGCAAAGTCCACGAAAGGGAGCCAGACTGGCTTCATGAAGGAATGGTTCACTTAACAACTGAGGTGATTTGCTTAACAACTGTGGCAAAGAGGAGGGTAAAATGAGGGGCAAATTTATTTCGCGACTGCCTTGCTCAGCAATGGAAGCTTTGGGCTCAATTGCGGTCGTAAGTCAAGGACTATCGGCAGCCCGCAACCCAGACGGGGGACCTTGCGTCCCTCTGAAATAGCCCCCCCACCCCACCCCATTCAACTCTGCTCAAAAATCTTTGCTCAGACAAAGAGCAACTGGCCTCCTATTCTTCCTCCGACGTATTTACTGAAGTGGGGCGGTATTTCTCCACCTCAGCAACTTGAAGATGTGTTGACTTCAACTCCCAGAATTCCCTAGCCAGCATGGCTTCAAGTTGCCAAGGCTGAGGAAACACTGAATTATGGGTTTTGTGCTAAATTTCCCATGGAAGCCACAGGGGTTCTCTTCCCAACACATCCACTCTCCCCCTCCTCAAAGGGCTTGCCTTCACACGTCCAGGGGATTCCTGACAAACACCCCTCCCCCTGAAGAGGCATCCCAGGGCCAGGTGGAAGAGACGGACTTTGCCCGATGCCAGCAAGACTGAACCCGCGTGGCTGTGATGCTGGGAAGGAAAGGGAGCCTCCTCGGAGGATGAGCCTCTCGGGCCAAACTCTGCCTGACAAAATGACTTCTGGAACTGGCTCTCTTGCCAGCCGTGGAGCCACGTCTGCCAGGGGCCACAAGAGCTCCTCCAGGAACAGCCCCGAGCTGAGCCAGGAAGGGAAAGGCTATACAGGGGATCCGTTCCAGGAACCTCTTCCTGCGTCCAGCCAGATCCTCAGTTCTTTTTCCCTGGAAGAACCGCAAGCCATCAGGCAGCGTGCCAAAAAAAAAAGAGTCTCGCCGGCCCAGCACGGCGGGGCCACGATCAGTGCCATGTGCAAACAGGCTCTTTGGATCGAGGCGGCACCTCAAATTCAGGTTACCCGGAACAGAGAAGAAGTGGGAGGAGCATCCAACCAAAGCTTCCAGGGCAGGAGAAAAATGGCGCACTCACTCAGCAACAGGGAGCGAGGGACCGACCGCCACCAAACCTCTTTCAGAAAAAAACCAGGAACCCCCCCCCCCCAAAGCAGCCTGGGGGCCTTGCCAAGCACAGGGCAACAGGGCCAGCTTCCCCCACTGCAGCAGACAGGAACTGCACTCCAAAGAAGGGCAGACGGGAACTGAAATGGCCGCCTCCTCCTCCTCCTCGCCCCAGGACTAAGAAAGAGGCCCTACCCAGCCTGCAGCTTCTGGCGGGGAGCAACTTACCTGGCTGGATGCTCCCATCTGGGCAGCCTGGACCTGGGAAGCCACCTGTTGCTGCTGCTGCTGCTGCTGCTGCTGCTGCTGTTGTTGCTGTTGTTGCTGCTGCTGCTGCTGCTGCTGTTGTTGTTGTTGGTGCTGCTGCAAAGCTCTGACCTTAAGGAACAGAACCAAGAGTGGATTCTACAGCGCTCAACCTCACGGCTCTCTCGCCAAAGTGAGGGACTCCCATCTTCCCCACCTGTGCCCAGACACCCCCCCCCGCAAGACGTGGCCCAGTTCCTGGGGAGCCTGGCAGCCCCTTCCAAGGCCCAGCTGAAGGATTTCTTTCAAATGTGGGGACCCCACAGATTTCCCTTCCATTCCTAGGATGGAGAGCATGCTGTCTCCGTGCGCAGAAATGCCACGGCTGCCAGGAGAAGGCCGAGCAGGGCCTCCTCTGGTCAGCTAGGCTTCAAAACGCTGAGAATTGCCCGAGTTGGTGAGCTGCGCACCCAGAAACCGTTGCCCACAAACACGAATCTGATATTAAAGCGCAGGTGTATCATTTTACACCCCTTACCTTTCAGGGTAAGAAGCATTATACAAAGAGTATAAAGAGAAAAATTAAGAGAGGAGATGGGGGGGGGGGGAAAGAAAGAAAATTCAGCTACATCAGCACTAGTTACTAAATTCCTCAATACCTCTCTATCTTGCAAAGCAATCTTTATTTTGCTATGTGTTACCTCGTAATTTTATTGTTCAAATGTTTCATTTCTCCAGCAAAACCCCTTTTCTTGGTCTTCATTTTGTTCATCATTTCTCTCTACATGATCAAACTATCACAACACGCTTACTTCATACGTCACTCGCCACTCGCTCTTATTCTCTTACCATTCACATTCCTCTACTCTCAGCTTTATGGTTCTCCTGATATATGCAATGGTCATTTTCCATTTAATAAAACGGACAGAAGTACAGTCTTATACCTAGCTTTTTAATAGATTTTTTAAATTAAAAAACAGACTACATGCTATCTGTTTTTTTACCAGTATTTGTATTTCTTCATTCTCAAAAAACATTTTCTCGTCTATTTTTTGTTTTACACACACACACACACATACACACACACACCATGCAACTGTTCGCTCCATCTGACGAACACATTTATTCCATTCTTTGATACATTAATTTTCAGATCTTTTATTCCTTGATATATCAAATTATCTATTAAAGATTTGCTTAAAACCAGGTTTTAGCCAGCAAGCTATACATTTTTGTCTCTCTACACTTCTATCACAAGCATTTCATATACTTTTAATCCATATTGTATTCTTTCAAGCAAGGAGACATCATCTCCGTGCTAAATGTTACCAGACATATCATCTGCCTTTACATAAATTTTATTTTCATCAAATGCCACTCTTAACTACATTCAGCGAAACTCCATAACAATGTAGTTTCACATTCTTGCAAAACTTTCTGAATTCACATCTGTTTATTTTATCGTACTTTAACATCTCTCAATATACTACTGTTAAATTACTGAAGTTTGCAGATGATACAACAGTGATTGGTCTCATTCTAGACAACGACGAATCCGCATACAGATGGGAGGTTGTACAACTAGCCTTGTGCAGAACAATCTGGAACTGAAAGCACTCAAAACCGTAGAAATGGTGGTAGATTTTAGAAGAAACCTTCCTGTACTACCACCTCTTACAATATTAGACAACACAGTATCAACAGTAGAGACCTTCAAATTTCTAGGTTCTACTATATCACAAGTCCTAAAATGGACACCTAACATCAGAAACGTCATCAAAAAAGCACAACAAAGAATGTTCTTTCTGCGCCAATTCAGGAAGCTCAAACTGCCCAAGCAGCTGCTGATCCAGTTCTACAGAGGAATGATTGACTCTATCTGTACCCCTATATTTGGTTCTTCAACCCAACAAGACAGACACAAACCTCAACTGATAGTTAGAACTGCAGAAAAAACAATTCCTACCAACAACCTGCCTTCCATGGAGGACCTGTATGCTGCACGAGTCAAAAAGAGGGCTGGGAAAATATCTACAGACCCCTCACATCCTGGACATAAACTGTTTCAACTCCTACCCTCAAAACGACGCTATAGGGCTTTGCACATCAGAACAACCAGACACAAGGACAGGTTTTTTTCGAATACCATCACTCTGCTAAACAACTAATTCCCACAACACTGTCAAATTAACTACTAAGACTGTATTACTATTCTTCTCATCTTTACTAGTACCTATTTCTTCCCACCTATGGCTATATCCATGTTGCTTGTATCTTTACAACTTATACTCTTTTTATTGTTTGCTAGTATGATTTGATTGCTTATTAGTATCCTATGACTATCACCAAGTGTTGTATCTTACGATTCTTGACGAATATATTTTATTTTTTCTTTAAGTACATTGAGAGCATATGCATCAAAGACAAATTCCTTATGTGTCCAATCACATTTGGCCAATAGAGAATTCTATTCTATTCTATAACCATCAAAATTTGCAGCCTTCCAATTGTTCATTTTTACCCATCCTTTTCATCGTTTTTAAAGCCAAACCTATCATTATCCAGCTCTTGACATCAACAGCATTTCCCTAGAACTTCTAAAATATTATTCCCAGCTACGGTATCTCTGACCTGAGCTGCATTGCAAATAATTTCATAAGTTTCAGTTTCATCCTGTGTCGGAGACTTCTTGCTTAGCCTTTTATTCTTAGTTTTACAATGAACTTTTATTTCCATTAAAACCCTCTGCATTTTCTCTACCTCCGTGAACCATTTCCCTGTTTTCTTCGACCATTCTACATTACTGTCTTTCGAGGCACCCGGGAAAACGGACGCAGGCAATCAGAAGCCGCCAGCCTGACCCCTTACCTGCATGGCTTTTATCTGCTGGGGCAGGATGGCCATAGACATGACCTGGGCAGGAATCTGTCCCGGAACAGTCTGGGCCTGGGAGACCATGGGCTGGGGAGGAAGCGACTGGGACGGGGCCTGGGCCACCTGCTGCTGCATCGGTTGCGGGGGTGGCGGCTGAGGTGGCGGTGGCTGCTGCTGCTGCTGCTGCTGCTGTTGCTGCGCCTGAGCAGCCTGCTGCTGCAGCTGTTGCTGCATCTGAGCAATTCGCTGCAGTTGCTGCTGCTGCTGCATCTAAAGTCAGAAGTGCAAAGAGAAGGAAGCATTACCAGGAAGGCGGCAAGAGCAGCACAGAGGCCCCCGGGAAGCTCTGCTGTCGTGTGTTGGGAGATTGTCAGCTGGTGCGCCATTCAAAATCCAAGAAAGGGAATACTTAAGACTCCATTAATCAGAGAAAAGATATCTTTTGCTGGACATCAAGTGGTTAGCAACAAAAGAATTCTGAATCTGAGAAAATGGGTGCGTAAATCACACCTGCAAAGTAATGGCAACGTTCCCACCCCCAATAGTTCAATTGGTTCATC